TTTTGCTTGAGCCGGCTCAATACACATAAATGGAGACGTCTCTCTTCAGAAGGAGGAGCCTGCTCAATTGATGGATTACATCTCCTTGCTCTCGGCATCTCACATTTGCACTTGGATGCAGGGCAAAAAAATGAAAGAGCCGGCTCCATGAAATAGAAGAGCCGGCTCCAAGAAACTTCATTGAGCCGGCTCCAAGAAACTTCATTGAGCCGGCTCTATGAACTAGTGAGCCGGCTCAATCAATGAAACCCACACACACAGATTCTCGGTTTCATTTTAAGTGCACAGTAGGCTTTCATAATCCATCTCGGCACTTTCCATTCAGCATACTGACTCCATTCTAGACATAACAGAGGCTTATTCCAGAGCACTCTCTCGGCTAGGGTTGAAATATTTCCTCCATTGGGCATCTTCACAGGTAACTCCTTTCCTCAAATTCCATCTCAAAGTTATGAGTTCTTGCATTTTAGTTGATCTATTTTCAACAAATTTCAGAGTTCATTGCTTTTTCATCTCTCATCCATGAAACCCTTGATTTCACTGTAGACTTTCTCCTCACATGGAAAGAACATATTTGAGTAGAAATTGCTACTCTCTTGGTTTGTTAATTCAAATTTCTAGTAGTTATGCATTTGTCATATGACTAATCTATGAATTTATTTCATGTCAATTAAATCTTAGAAATATATGTTGTTTTCAGACCCCTTTATTTTCAATTTATCTTTGAATTCCATTTTATTTTGATGAATTTGTAAACTTTATTACCTAGATCATATTATCTGAATTTTTTTATTTTTTTTTTGGGTTTTTAAGCATAAAACTTAAATTAGTATAAAACTTAAATTAGTACATTGGTTCAAAATCATTTTCAATTATAATCATTAATTCTCAGTCAAAACCAATTTGAGCTTTGAAATTTCCAGTATATGATAATTGAATTTTTTTTTAATCTTCACTCCAAACAAATTTAAGTGAATTTTTCTTTAGATATGTGTTCTAAGTATTCCTTCTGAAATTTCAGTTTCAATTTCTAGAAATGTCCACGGCTTCATCCTCTCGTAGAAAGAATCCTCCTCGTGGTCATAAACGGAACTCTCAAAGATCTCAAGATGTTGGTTCAAGTCCTAGTACACAAACTCAAATCTCTGCTACCATGCTTTATAGAAACCCCACCTACAAAGTAGCATTTGACACTATCTATCAACATAGAAAATTGGCCACAGCAATGGTATTGTCCAAAAAAAAATTGCGATGATCTTAATCTCAACACCTATAGATTGTTTGACGAAATTGGCCTAGGAAACTTTGTTGGGTTGAGTACCAAATACTATCCAAAATTCGTAAAGTTATTTTACACTCACCTTGAAGAAAGTCCTGGAGAAGACAAACTTAATTGTTATGTAGCTGGAGTTCACTTTTACCTTGATAGAAGTAATATTGCTCGAATTCTCAAACTTGAGGGTGGCATCCAATTCTATTCTCCTTCCAAATGGTTTATTGGACAAGGCTTTGACAAACTCACGGCTATTCAGCAAATGAGTTATGATTCCCGTGTAACCAATACAAAAGTGGTAAACACCAGGCAATTAACTATGGAAGCCCGGTTGATTCACAAGATCATCATGTACTCCATTCTTCCAAAATCCGGCAGTAGATCCAAAGTTACTCACATGGACGTCTTCCTTATCTGGTGTGTCTTAAATGGAAAGCCCTTTGATCTTGCATACATAATATTTCATCATTTGCTTGCTTGCAAGAGAAAGAAAAAGGTCTCTCTTTATTATGCCATGGTTCTCACTCACATATTCATAGATATGAAAGTTCCGCTAGATAGTTCTGAAGCAGTTAAACCAGGGTCAAGACATATGCTCACTGCTTTAAATCTTGCGTCAATGGGGCTAAAAAGGGATTCAAATGGTATGTGGTTCTATCCTAAGCAACGGAGATTTGAAGAGGCTCAAGATAGAGGAGAAGAAATTGAGGAAGTTGATGATGAGGATGAAGAAGAACATGACAGTGATGACAGTGCTGAAGATGACGATGTTCTAGCTGAAAATTGCACCAATCGTGATCTTTTATTGAAAATTCTTGAAGCTACTCGTCAAAATCAAGCCACTCTTGAAGAACAACAAACCACTCTTGCACGACAGCAAAGACAACTTGACGAAGTGCATATGTCAATCACTTATCTTAATGAAGATTTTGAAGCATTTCGCAAAGGAAATAGACCTCCTTCTCCTTAGCACAGTATCACCCCTGTCTAAAACCTATTTTTGTGGTCTCATTTGCTATATCTGCTTTAGAGAATCATATTTTTAGATATGTTCTATTTACTTATGTTATTTCATTTTGAACTCCTTATCATGAACTATGCTTTTATCTACCCATATGGTAGTTGTCTTCTAATTCTCCTTCTGTTTCAACTTCTGCTTTCTATAAAATGCCATATTTTAATTGCTCTTTTCTTTATCAATTTTGATATTTCATGCAAAGGTCAGTATTTCCCATTGATAAAGGAAGATTTTTTTTGATATGACAAAGGGGGAGAAAGATGTGTTCTATGCTATATTGTGTCTATTCTATTGCATTGCTATTTTGATAGACGCACATTGATAGGGGGAGACATATTTTTTTTCAAATATTTGTTGTTGACATGAATTCAAGATATGCTTATTGATAGGGGGAGCATTATTTCAAAATGCAACTCCACCTTGACAATAAACACATCAATGTTTTGTCATCATCAAAAAGGGGGAGATTGTTGGCCTAAGGATTTAATCTAAAGGTCAATCTTATATTTTGATGATTACAAACCATTAATGATGTTTATGTACTAATATTTTCCTTGAGTGCTATATAGTTGATCAATTAATTCAATCCTCAATAATGAGCCAGAAGCATTCCAAGTACTCAAGCAATGGATTCAAGGAAGCATTGAAGTTGCAAGAATTCAAAGATTATTCAAGTACTCCATCAAAGGCTAACCGATCATGGTCAAAGATTGAAGAAAAGGGTAGATTAGATGGTGAGAGCTTAAGATTTAATGTCAAAGTTAATTTGAATATATTTGAAGCTCAAACTTCAATCCATGCATTGCATTCCCATTTTATTTCTCAAAGAAAATTAAAATCAGCTCATGATCACATTCACAGGACTTAAAGAATTTCATATTAATGTGAGATGGAGAAGGCTCCATAAAATAAAGAGAAGGCTCTTTTCTCTTATTCAGTGAGCTCTGAGAAGGTTCTTTTCTTTAACTCCAGTAAGTCTTTGAGAAGTATTTAAGAAAAAGAGAGGGCTCAATCAAAAGAAAAAGAGGGCTCTTTTTGTTCCAAGAAAGCTATGAAAATGGATCTTCAAAATAAAGAGCAGGCTCACGTTTTTATTGAGCAGGCTCTTTCCAAGGAAAATGAACAAAGAGCAGGCTCTTTAGTTTTCAAAGAGACGGCTCTCTTTAGGGTTTTGAACTATAACGTAAACATTTTCATTAAATGTTCTCAACAACCTCTAACAGCTATATTGAACTCTGTTGTTTCTATAAATACTGAGGTTGGTCTTCAAACTAAAACACCTTTTTAACAGAGAACATTCTATCACTCCTTGAAAAGCATTAAAGAAGTATTCTGAGCTTTCATTCCCTCTCTGTTATTTCATATCACTGTAGTAATTTTGAGCTTCACGTATATTCATCTTTTCTATAGTTGTGAGTTAAACTCTGTAATCTATCTTTGAGAGATTCTTGTACACTTGTTTCTTCAAATTTCAAAGCTATTGTAAAGGGTTGGTGTAACCCAAAAGAAAGCCTAGGAGAAGGGTGTTCTCCTAGCAAAGAAGAGAAGCAAGATCTTGTTTCAAAAGTGAAGGTTTGCTCTCCACCATTAAGGAGAAGCTCTAATGAATTTGGGAAGTCTCAAGGGGGATCTTGAGCCGAGGAGTAGGAGTTTCCGAACCTCGCTAAATCACCGAGTCATTGTTTGCAATCTCTTATCTCTATCTCTCTTATTTTTGTGCTTTATTTTGCTTGAATATTTCAATAAACTGATATTCAACAGTTTGGTAGAAATATAATTTTTAAATTGAAAAAATTGATCCTTGACTCTATTCACCCCCCCTCTAGAGTCAATTAGTGACTAACAAATGTATATGTTATTATAATATAGGAGCATATATGATAATATATAAATATAATTAGCCACCTATATGAGATGAAATAAGAATGATAAATGATATAAATGTATACATTATTATAATAGGGTCATGTGCAAAAACACACCCCCTGTAGTATGTTTACAGTGCATATTATCCCTTCTGTGCAAAAAACACCCCTAAGTCCTTTTTATAAAAATTGGACTAAAATGCCCTTAACAGCACACACACACACACACATATACATATATATATATATATATATATATATATATATATATATTTGTGAAATGACTAAAAAGGGTTGCCATAGAGAGGGAAGGGAAGACCGGAGAAGACCAAATATATATAATCGCTGGTCCGTCACCGCCTTTAATATATTAAGATCTTCATTAATATATTATACATATATAGAAGACCTTCATTAATCAAAATTTGATTTTCAGTATGATCCGCGATCCTCCTCTTTGATTCTTTCAAAGTTAAGATATTTTTACCACAGTTATTTTTGTATTTTTGTATACATGACATACTTGTATAACACTTGTATTTTCACTCACTCTTATATATATATATATATGTATATATATATATATATATATATATATATATGCATCATCCGTAATCTAATTGACACGGTTCACATAATTCAAAGACAAAAATACATGGAGTAATTTTCTTGCTGAAAAAATAAAATAAATCCTTTTTCGAATTATTCAAAGACACTAGCCTGACTGTAACATGATCTTAAACTTTGTTTCTTCAAGGAAAAAAAGATTTCAAACTAGACATAAATTATCAATCAAGTACAGAATACTAGTAAACCATACATGATAATCTTGATTGGTTATCTATCAAGTCCCACCAATATTTGCCAGAAAGGAGACCTTAATTTTTTTGAGTCTAACCAAGGCTTCTTTCATGTTGATCCTTTCTTCAGGTGAATCATTTGAACATTCCATGGCTAAACCCAAGATAGATGATACATATTGCTCCTTCACAGAGAAATGTTCTTCTCTTCCCATCAAATTAGAGTCCACAACTGCAATTATTGAACTATCCAACGCATCATTCACCCAACGCTTCAAGCTCATCTCCCCAGCAAACATTTCTTCCGTCGGCTTCTTCCTTGTGAATGTTTCCATCAACATGACACCGTAACTGTAGACATCGCCCCTTGTAGATACTATTCCTCCCATTCCATACTCTATGCATGACATGAATATTTATTACGAAATCAAACACTAGAAAATAACTTTAGCATGGAAACAGAAAAATTCATGTTTGAAAAGAAACATGAATTCTTCAGCATGAACTACATTAAATAACAAAAATTGAACATCACCTGGTGCCATATACCCAATTGTTGCCAAGGTCTTGGTTTGTACCATAAGATCCCCTTCACCTAAGAGTTTTGCAATCCCAAAATCAGCAACATGTGCAACCATGTCTTCATCAAGGAGGACATTGTTAGGCTTCAAATCGCAATGAATAATGGGTGTTGTATGACCATGATGTAGATACTCCAAGGCCGATGCAACATCTATCATGACATTTAATCGTTGCAGGATATCTAAACAATAGTTGTGAGAATACAACCACTTCTCGAGACTCCCATTAGGCATGTACTCTAGTACTAAGGCTTTGAAATCCAGGTTAGTGCAACTGCTGATGATTTTCATTAGATTCCGATGGCGAATGTTGCGCATTACTTCACATTCGACCTCAAAACTCCTGAAAGCTCGTTCTAGTTGCGAATTGAAAACCTTTATTGTAACACTCATCCCATCCAAAAGTGTCCCTTTATATACTGAACCAAAACTCCCCATGCCGATTAGGTTGGTTTCACTAAATGCTTCTGTTGCTCGTTGAAGTTCTAGATACGAAATCCTTCTCCATACATGAGGCGACGAATCTCCATGGGTTTGGAATTTGATTTTTTTGTTTCGTCGTCTTATTAACACAAATATGATCAGGGCCACAACAAGAATTCCTAATGCAATAGGGGGGAAAATATATCTCAACAACGGTATAATTTTTGATCTCGATCTTTGGTTGGTTTTGCACGGGGGGACTTACAATCGAGGAACTCCACAAAGTGCATCATTATACGAAAATGATTTGGCTGTAAAGTTGACAAAATGTCCTCCACTAGGAATTTCCCCTTGCAGTCTATTAAAAGACACGTTGAAATATTGGAGGTACCTGAGTGACTCCAAGGACTTGGGAATAACTCCAAACAAGTTGTTACTGGAAAGATCTAAGGATTCTAAGCTTATCAAGTTGCCAAGTGATTGAGGAACAGGTCCTTGCATTTGATTGTGGGCCAATGAAAGAAAAACTAATGACTGAGCTCCTCCGATGGTATTTGGGATTGTACCTGATAAGTGATTCCATGGCAAATCTAGACCTGTTATGACCTTCAAATTTCCGATATCTAATGGTAGATGACCTTCCAGAAAGTTTGAGGATAGGTTTAGACCCACTAGATCTTCAAGGCTCCACAAGTTTGACGGTATCATGGAAGTCAAATTGTTGGAGTCAAGATAGAGAAATCTTAGAGATTTAAGCTCCCCCAAGCATGACGGAATTGGACCATAGAGCATGTTGTTACTTACAAATAAGTCCCCCAATTTCCTTAGCCGACAAAGATCACCTGGGATGCATCCTTGAAGTCTATTGTTTTGAAGATACAAACGTTGGAGATTTTGCAATCTTTCTATTGTTTTTGGGATAGGTCCAGTCAACTGGTTGCTTTGTAAGTCTATGTAATTCAAGCTGCTCAAATTCCCGATTACATTGGGGATGTTGCCCTTAATTTTGCATTGAAATGCGTCAAACACTTGCAGTGTACTAGACAAATTCCCAAATGAAACTGGAAGTACGCCATTTAGTGGATTTAATGTTATGCTCAATATCTTTAATTGTCTGCAATTCGTTAAAGAAAAGAAAAATCTCAACTCCGAAGTAGAAAATTCCTTGGTCAGACTATTTTTTTGAAGTTCGAGCTGCCGCAAGAGTCTTAAACTACCGAGCGTATTGGGTATAGATCCAGTGAATGAGTTTCTGGTCATGGCAATGAAGGTAAGCCTAGAAGCATTAGAGATAGAGCTCGGAATTATTCCGCTGAGTTTATTGCCGTTTAAACAAATCTCTTTAAGTTTTGGAAGCCAAAACCCCATGTCTGAAGGAAGCTTGCCTGAGAAGTGATTATTTCCCAGGTCGAGGTGTTCCATTGTTGACACATTGAATATTTTGAATGGAATGGTTCCACTTAAGCTGTTTTCATAGACACTCAACCAATTGAGATTAAGGTTACCAATCTCACCTGGTAAAGTACCTGCCATTCACAACATCGACCCCTGGTATTATTTTTCATCAATCTTTTACACACGGTAGTTAACAAAAATAACAGTAACATTATAAATCAAGATAGACATTTATTCATGGGATCAAGTGAATATAACTGAATTACGAAAGAATACTAACCACAAAGATTGGAAGAACTCCCTCTCTCTCTATATGTATAGTTATCATTTTATTATGCTTGTATTAACTATTCTCAAATATGCTATTTACGAGTCTATATCTATATATATATATATATATATATATATATATATATGCAGTTGGGCCCACATGCCCCTGACCAGCCTTAGTAATTTTTTTAAAAAAATTAATTTCTAAAATTATCTTCTAAATTTTTCTTTTCTTTTTCTTTTACTCTTAATATTCTTTTGATTTCCATAATAAAAAAATTTTTTTAAAAAAAAGTTTAAATTTTCCTTCTTTGCTTAGAACATTTTTGTTTTTTTCCCCTTACTTCTTAATATTCTTATTTTTGCTCTTAAGAATGATGTATATAGTATGTAATTTTATTTTTTTTGGTTCTTTTAGTTCTTTTTTATGGTTCCGGGGCTTTTCTTTTTTGGGGGTGGGGGTGGAGAGGTAAGAAAAATGACAACTTAAAAAGGAAAAAAAAAATTATAATTTAATTTAACAAAGAAAGTTTAACTTTTTTTTAAGGAATTTAAAGAGTAAATGAGAAAAAAAAAAAAAAAAAAAAAAAAACTAGAAAATTAAGAGATAGAAAGAAAAAAACAAAAATACCATATGTATAGTGAGCAGGGCTGGGGCAAGTCCCCCTCACCATACACTAGCTCCGCCCCTGGTTCTAGAGTGAAATTTGCACCCATTGTCAACTTTTTGATTTGCCAAAATTTTTCTACGTGACTGATGCATCCTTTTTTTGCTTTTAAGTTTTCTCATTTATTCTTATTTGTTCTTTTCCCATCTACATTAGGAAAAATTATATATTACAACAGTTGCAACGCTGACGTGGAGCAACCAACGATCACAAACAATCCACCAAAGTAAATGAATTAACTTTTGGTTGTACTGTAGGTCCATTTTGCTTTGGTGAATTGTTTATGACCGTCGGTTGTACCACGTCTGCGTTGCAACTGTTGTAACGTATACTTTCACCTAAGTTAGAATCTTCTCTTTTCTTCTTGATGTTAAGGGAAAAAGTAACTATTTAGTCGAACATGGCTTTAATTAAAATCTATTGCTCTTCAAAGCTGCAATGGAATGAAATTTTTCGCGCAACTTTTGAGTTTTGAATTGAAGAAAACAATTAAAGGATGCATATTCAAAGAAGTTCTGGCATCGATTTGGCTGGCGCCTTTGGGTATTATTAAAATAAGAAGGATTCTTTACCTTGTAATTGTTAGGAATTATAGCTCATATTTCTATTAGAATTAGGATTCTATTATAGAGTTATTTTGTTATGATAATTACTTGTAGAGACAAGTCTTGGACTCTAAGAAGTTGTAATCCTTGTCCACCAATAAAATGGTTGTGGGTCGACTCTATAAATAGAAATCTAAGTATGAATAGGGAGAGTTATGAGTTATAATTCTCCATAAATTGTAACGTGTCCACATCATTATAGTGAAACTCCCCATCTATGGATGTAGACCTAGAGTTCGGTGAACCATGTAAATCTTATGTTATGCATATGTGTTATTATTTGGTGAGACCTTCAATATGGTTGAATTTTCTTATTGTTGGCGTCGATTACAATTGGGCAAAATTAGACCAGTCACACTTTTTTGTACCGACCCAACTTCTACAAGTTCTGGTTAGTTGTGCGATATTGTGTCACGTTTGTTTCTTCCGCTTTCCCTTGTGCCCTAACAAGTGGTATCAAAGCCGGCGGTTCAGCTGGTATGTTCAAAAGATCTAGAAAACATAATAAGTCTCAATAAGAGTTGTAACGCGCGGGTGTTCAATTGTAGGTGGAGTCAATCAGTCAGCTTGCTCAGTCAAAATGGTCGTTAGAGTTCGCTCCCAGCCTCGAAAAAAGTGGGATCTCTCTTAGCCTACAGGTTCTCTCTTTGTCCATAAAATAGTAGGAGGTTTTCTCTCAGCCAAAGTTCATTCCAGTCCTAAAAAGAATGTGTATGCTCTCTCAGCCTGGAAAAGCGAATGTGGTTTTTCTCTTAGCCAAAGTTCGCCTCTAGCCTAAAAGAGTAGTGGTTTACTCTTTTAGCTGAAAAAGAGAAGGTTTGATCTTTAGCCAGAAAAAGGAGCAAGACGGAATTGTGATAATTTACATGGCATGGGGTTTGAGTTAAGGTGGAGTGTTAAAGGACAAAATAATTAAGGTCGCATGAGTTATCCGATTCAATTATTGTGGAGAGCGTTGATTGACGATGACGAAATTTGAGCCAAGATGGAGAATGTTAGGAATTCTGGCTCATATTCCTATTAGAATTAGGTTTATATATTTTAGTTATTATGTGATGGTAATTTATTGTAAGAAAAGTTTTGGACCCTAATAAAATGTACTCATTTTCCACCAAGGAATTGGGTTCTAGGACTCTATAAATTGATACCTAGGGTATTGTTGAAAAGTATGAGTGGAGAGACATGTAGCCCGTAAGGACAGCATCACCAGTGAGTAGTTTTCAGTTGATAAGTAGAGAGAGTTAGGTTTACTAGGTAATTCTCTACAAATTGTAACATCTTATCATCATTATAGTATAATCTCCTCATTCGTAGACTAGTTGACACGTGTACAGAGGAAGACTTAATATGCTAATATGATAACAATCATTACGATTTGCAAGGGAAGTCTCCTTGATGGGATCAAGCATGTAATCAAATAAACTTATATTTAGGTAATGTTCCTTACTCGGTTTCTTATTTGAGAAGGACAAGTATTCATAAAGACAAAAAGAAAGGATTTATGATAAGGATATGCTTCATCAAAACTCTCAGATGAGGGAGATGCAAATAATCAAGAGACTAAGGGCAGAGCCAGTGTATGGCCAGGATGGGCACATGCCCCCCTGCCCTAGCCCAGCCCACTATATTATATATGGTTATTTTTTAAATTTCTATATATATATATATATATATATATATATATATATATATATATATAAATTTGTATATAATGCCCCCTTAAAACTGTTTTCGCCACCACCACTACTTTCGCCACCACCACTGCCTCCATCATCGCCTACCACCGCCCTGCCTTCCGCCAACACCACTACTTCTTCCACCACCATCATCATTTTTCGCTACCATCACCGCCTTCCACCACCACCAATACATTGCCATCGCCTTTCACCACCTCCTAGAATGGTGATTATCACTTCATTCCTACATCATTTCATATTTACAACCAAACAATCAAATGAGAATAATCATTCCATTCCATTCCCATTCTCATTCCATTCCTTTGTACCAAACTTGGCCTTAGCGTTTTTGGATTTAAATGAGCTATCAGATGGAGTTAATTGTGGAACCAAAGCAATGAAGTTACTTCCTCTTTAAGTAGTTAGTTTTTATCTAATTGCCTACTTTTAGGATGTTTGTTAATTTTATTAGGCTATAAATATATATGGTTGGAGTCTTTGTAAAGGATCCAGCACCCTATAGGGGTGGATCCCATAGAACTATGTGGCATAGAAGCATGGAACTAGCCAAGCTCGGGCACACAATCATAAACACTCTCCGAGCAAGACCATAACCATATAAGAGCGCTCGAGGTTGCCTCAGTACTCGAGCATACCTTCTTCAAGGTATAAACCCATCTCGAGACCAAGGTAAGATGGTTTCGAGGGCCTATGCCCCTTACTTAGGAATCTGGAAGGACCTTTGGTTTGGAGAATGAGATGCTAGAGTATGGCTAGCCTATAGACCTAGTTAATGATATGATGAATCCACCACGTGCCATGACTGAAACACTTATAATCACCATTAATGAGCTCAACTACTGTCACTTTTTGAGGGGATGTGTATTTAATGCAAAGTAGCATTTCCTCGAGCCAAATAACCATATTAACCCTACTACACCTAGATGGGTCATGATGATTGGCCTTGCCAGGTAGGCTCGAGCACCAAAAGTTAGCTCTAGAGGGCTAAGCAACCAGATAGCGATTTGAGACTATAAATAGAAAACTTTTCACATATAGATAGGGACGGAACCCACACGAGGCAAACGGCTTACTTACCTTCATCACATATCTCATTAACTAGTCTACTTCTCCTTCCCACCAAGGCTCTTATCCAGGTCCATCATATTTTGTAACTGTATATCGCGTCCTTCACTATTTGTAGTAAAATCTGTAATAAAGAACCCCCACATTTTGGCGACTCCGTTGGGGATATCAGAATAGAGCCGATGGACTTAGACGACCAGCCAGCACAGTCAGAGCATTTAATTAAGGGGGAAAGCGTTTCTACGTAGGGATAACAATTTGCCTTGCGAGGACGGGTACCTGCCCTATTTATAGCGATTTTGGGGGACCATTTAGCTTATTTAGGCGGGGATGGTTTTTATTAATGAAAACTCGGGCGGGGACGGGGGAGGTCACCATGAACGCATCTCCTAGAATAAGGGTAAGACCCACCATGAGATGGTTGTTGTTAACAGCAGAGACTCCATAAAAGGACTCCAAAAATGGTTGCTCTGTTATATTCAAATACTCATGCTCAAACCCATCAACCCATTTGTTAATTAACACAAACCCAATAACAATTAGACCCCAAAAACACATAACCTTCCCCATCTCTCTCTCTTTCTCCTCTGCTAAGCTATTGCATTATAAAACATATATGTGTGTGTGTGTGTGTGTGTGTGTGTGTGTTTGTGTGGTATATATATATTTATATATGAGAAAATTTATACTCTCTAATACCTAGGAGCTAAACATGGAGATGAATTGAAACAATGTTAAGTATATTACTAATTTGGCACCATACGGGTATGTGTAATGAATCTGGTTATAGAAGGAAAAAGGGGTTCTAGAGAGAGAAAGAGGTGTAGAGAGAG